GGAGAAACTTCAGAAGGAAAAGAGAAACTGGGATGGGAGAATGGAGGAAAGAAGGGCGGGAAAAGCAAAAAGAAAAATATCTCTGCGACCTTGAGATGAGCAAAGTCGATTGAAAATGACACCAAGGGGCTGGGACTTAGCTCAGCGGCACAGCACCTGCCCAGAAAACGCAAGGTCGTGATTTCAATCTCCGGTACCGGAAAAACACACACAAAAAAAAAAGAAAGAAAATGACACCAAAGCATGCCCAGCTGCTCCTTAGAGAGGAATCCTGACAGCGGAGAGGGAGGCCCACTGGCCTCCGTTCGAGTCCTGGTCCAATGCAGGCGCCCTGTCCCTGGAAGTCCTCGTGGGAGAGGAATTTCCATCTCACCAGCCACACAGGCTGGGCTGTTTCTGAAAGACAGAACTAACCTGGATTCCTAAAAATGGGTACTCGGCATTCTCACTTTCAAAGGGTTTACTTACATTTGGGAAAAGTAAAGTATCACATCAGTGCCCTCAGGGCACTTAAAATTTATTTATAGAATTATTTAATCTAGGTGCATTAAGTGGGGAAATCATTTCATCTCATATACTGTGAATGTCTAGAAGAGTTTTTTTTTATTTTAAAGAGAAAAAAAGAACAAAATTTCAAAACAAGATAATAGGAGGGTAACAATGGTTAATACATTGCATATTGTCTTCTTTAAATTAATTACTCAGAGTACCAGATATGGGCTTTTAATCATCCAGACAATATTAGGATAAACATTACTTTTCAATGAACTAAGAGAAATTGTAGTATGAGTATCTTAACTATCTTTTATGTATTTTTTTTCTTTTTCCTTTTCCCTTCCTTCTTTTCTCCATACTCCCATCCCAGTTTCTCTTTCCTTCTGAAGTTTCTTCCATTTATAATAACTATTGTACACTTTAGATCTTATTTATTCTTTCAGCTTCTCACACTAGGGAGATAATATGATGTTTACACATGTGTGTCTGGTTTATTTCACTTATGAGTGTGTTTAGTTGTATTCATTTACCTATAAAATTCTGCAGTTTATCCTTCTTTATGGCTGAGTAGTACTAAGTAGTAGATGTCTTTTACATCCTTCATTAGATTGATTCCTAGGTATTTCTTTTTTTGGATGCTACTGTGAAAAGTGTTGTTTCCCTAACTTCTCTCTCAGTGAGCTTGTTATTTGTGTACAGGAATGCTATTGATTTTTGAGTGTTGACTTTGTGTCCAGCTATGTTACTGAATTTGTTTACTAGATTTAAGTTTTTTAGTGGAATTTGGTCTTCTATGTAGAGTATCATGTCATCTGCAAATAATGATAATTTAACTTCTTCTTTTGTTATTATTATTCCTTTTATTTCCTTCTCTTGTCTGATTGCTCCGGCTTAAGTTTCCAGAACTATGTTGAATAAGAGTGGAGACAGTGGACATCCTTGTCTTTTTCCTGATTTTAGAGAGAAAGCTTTCAGTCTTTGACCATTTGATATTGTGTTGGCTGTTGGTTTGTCATAGATGGCTTTTAACAGATTGAGATAAAGACCATCTATTCCAACTTTCTGTAGGGCTATTATCATGAATGGGTGCTGAACTTTGTCAAAAGCTTTTTCTGCATCTATTGAGATGATCATATGTTTTTTGTCCTTTTTTGTCTGTTAATATGATGTGCTACATTTATTGATTTATGCATGTTGAACCATCCCTGCATCTCTGGAATGAATCCCACTTGGTCATGGTGTATAATCTTCTCGATGATTTGCTGCATTCTGTTTGCCAGTCTCTTATTGAGAATTTTTGCATCTATGTTCTTTAGGGAGATTGGCCTGTATCTCTTTTTTGGTTGGGTCTTTCTCTGGTTTTGGTATCAAGGTAATACTTGCCTCCAGGAATGAATTTGGGAATATTGCTTCCTTTTCAATTTCATTAAAGAGTTTGAGAAGTAATGGTATTAGGTGTTCTCTAAGTTTCTTGTAGAATCAGCAGTGAATCTGTCAAGGCCTGGGCTTTTCTTTGTTGGTAGCTGTTTAAATATGTCTTTGATTTCACTGATTGATATTGGTTTATTTAGAATTTTTATATCTTCTTGATTAAGCTTTGGTAATTCTAATGTATCTAGGAATCTGTCCATCTCTTCTGCATTTTCCATCTATTTAGAGTATAACTTTTCAAAGTAGAGATTTCACTGGATTTCTTCAGGGTCCATTGTGATTTCACTCTCTTTATACCTAATTGCATGGATTTGTGTCTTTCCTTTTTTGATTAGGCTAAATAAAGGTTTGTCAATTTTATTTAATCTTTCAAAGAACCAACTCTTTGATTCATTGATTCTTTATATTTTTTTAGTCTCCAGTGGGTTAATTTCTGCTCTGATCTTTATAATTTCCTCCCTTATATGAGCTTTTGGCTTAGCCTGCTCTTCTTTTTCTAGAAGTTTGAGGTTCACCATTAAGTTGTTTATTTGTGCTTGCTCAGCTTTCCTGATGTGGGTATTCATGCTATAATTTTCCCTCTTACGACTGCTTTCATTGTGTCCCATAAGTTCCAGTATGTTGTATTGTGGTTATCATTTTATTGTAGAAATCATTTAATTTCTTCTTTAATTTTCTCTGTAATCCATTGGTTGTTCAGGAAGGTGCTATTTAATTTCTATGTGTTTCTGAAGTTCTTGTGGTTTCTTTTGCCATTGATTTCCAGTTTCATCGTATTATGGTCTGATAATATGCATGGGATAATTTTGATTCCTTTGCATTTACTTAAGCATGTTCTGTGAGCTAATATGTGTTCTGTTTTGGAGAATGTCCCATGTGCACCTGAGAAGAATGTGTATTCTGATGTTGCAGGGTGAAACACTCTGTAGACATCTACTAAGTCCATTTGTTCAAAAGTTTGGTTCAGTTTTAATATTTCATTGTTGAGATCCCCCAATACAATTGTATTAGTGCTTATTTGACTTCCCATACCCATTGATGTTTGTTTTATATACTTAGGTGCACCGGAATTTGTTGCATATATATTTATGATTATTATCTCTTCCTCTTGGATTGTTCCCTTTACAAAGATGTAGTGACCTTCTTTGTATCTCTTAATCAATCTTGGCTCAAAATTCACTTTGTCTGCAAATAGAATAGTTACCCCTACTTTTTTCTGTGTTCCTATTGCATAGAGTATTGTTCTCCATCCTTTGACTTTCAGTCTATGAATTTCTTTTCTAATTAAATGTATTTCTCATATGCAGCATATTATTGGATCTTGCTTCTTGATCCATCCTGCCAGTCTGTGTCTTTTGATTGGTGAACTGAGACCATTAACATTTATGGTTATAACTGATATGTATTGACTTATCCTTGTCGTGTTATTTTCCTGTTGTTAGCTCCCCCTCTTTTTTCTCCTCTCTCTGTTTGTTTGGCTGGCTTAGTAGATTCCTTCTGTTGGGGTCCATGGAGTTGTAGCCCTTATTATCTCTTTCTAGAATGTCTTTCAAAACATTTTGGAGTGCTGGCTTGGTAGTCATAAATACCCTCAGATATTCTTTGTCATGGAAGTATTTTATTTCTCCATCAGTTGTGGAAGATAGTTTTGTGGAGTACATCAATCTAGCTAGAAGGTTGTTTTCCTTCAAAACTTGAAATACTTCACTCCAAGCTCTCCTTGACTTGAGAGTTTGTGCTGAGAAGTCAGCTGTGACTCTGATGGGCTTTCCTTTATAGGTGATTTGTTTCTTTTCCCTCACAGCTTTTTAAGATTGTATTCTTATGTTGAATTTCTGGCATCTTCTTTATGATATGCCTGGCTGTAGTTGTTTTTTTTTTTTTTTTTTTTTTTATCATGGCTAATTGTATGAGAGAGTTTTTAACTCTGAAAATTAAACTGTATTTTTCATTTTTGGTGTTTGCAATCCTGATGGACAAGGATGTCTCAGGGTGAAATCCCTAGCCATTTCAGAATGATCCTAAGCTGATAGCTTCTTGTGATTCATTTGACAGTCTGTGGAGACACATCTTGTTATTGTTCAAGCTCCTTAGCACAGAGAGGCACAGTCTCAGCACGCAAGTGCAATTGTCAAGTCTGATGGTCTGTGAAGATAATAATACCAATCCATGAAAAAACAGTTCTCCAAAAATAAAACTGTTACTCATACATAATTGAAAATTTTACAACAATTATCTCAAACAATCATGCCTTTCTGCATGTTAAGGAGGAAAAATTGTTCTTTTGAATATGTTTTATAATGAATAATTTATAGCCAAGGAATTTCTAATATCATAAAGTTGGCTTCTAACCAGTAGACCTCTGCAAGTCTGTGATTCACTGCAGAAAGAGGACAAATGCCATTACTGAGAATGATTGGCAGAAATATCAATCCATTGATGATTAGAAGATAAGCCCAAAGTAGCTTCCTGTTTAAGTCCTGGGGCTCCAGAGCTCCTCCATTCTATTTTTAGCAACAATGGTATTAGTAATGGTCCACCCTGCTGGAGACATTACCATATGCTGGGCCCCATCCCAAGCTTTTCCTTCCTCATCTCATTTTATCCTCATAACGAGTTTACAAAGAAAGACCTAAGGTACCGGAAAAACCCAAATACCAGGGCTTTTTTTTTTCATCCAAAACTCATGACCACACCTTCTTGATTTCATTTTTAAAATTCTGTGAACTGAAGTGTATTGGAAATGGAAAATAAGCATAGAATGTATGTTTCTTCAAGGTACAAATTCTCCTGTCCTTTTCTTTCTGAGCCTTCCTTTGTGAATAATAAAATTGTTTCTGAATTCACAAAAACCAAGTAGCAGTTTTTTCAACATTTGATCATTATATTTGTTGGCAGACCTGTTGTAACCTTGAGTCACCTACAGTAAACTTAAGTATTATTCTAATTGATTTTTTCACTGCTTACTGAGAAACAGAGCACCCCTTTCACTGGTCTCATAAATAATTCCATTTCTCTCTGTCAACATTAATTGAACTTACCTCATGTTGTCAATCTCTCTTTCTTCCTTGCAGGTGATGTCATTGTCTATATTAATGAAGTTTGTGTCCTTGGACATACTCATGCAGATGTTGTCAAACTTTTCCAGTCTGTTCCCATTGGTCAGAGTGTCAACCTGGTGTTGTGTCGTGGCTACCCTTTGCCCTTTGACCCGGAAGATCCTGCCAACAGCATGGTGCCACCCCTTGCAATAATGGAGAGGCCACCTCCAGTGATGGTCAATGGAAGACATAACTATGAAACATATTTGGAATACATTTCTCGGACCTCACAGTCGGTTCCAGATATTACAGATCGGCCGCCTCACTCTTTACATTCCATACCAGCTGATGGTCAGCTAGATGGCACGTATCCACCACCCGTCCATGACGACAATGTGTCTATGGCTTCCTCTGGGGCCACCCAAGCTGAACTTATGACCTTAACCATTGTGAAAGGTGCCCAGGGCTTTGGCTTCACCATTGCCGACAGTCCTACAGGACAGCGGGTGAAACAAATACTTGACATTCAGGGATGCCCTGGCCTGTGTGAAGGCGACCTCATTGTTGAGATCAACCAGCAGAATGTACAGAACCTGAGCCATACAGAAGTAGTGGATATACTTAAGGACTGTCCCGTTGGAAGTGAGACGTCTTTGATTATCCATCGAGGAGGTAAGACAAACTCTGGCTCAGCAATGCAGTATGTGGGTAAAATAGTAGGACATTTATGCTAATCTTGTTAAAATGGAGGTTTCTGTACAGTTCAGTGAAGTCATGCTTTTAGGAAAGAGTGGTAAAACAGTAATAGTGAAAAACATGCACGCTGGATATTTGAAGTTTGAGAATACAGCTTTTCCTAGTTTGTGTTTCACACAATCTTAATAGTGCTTTCATTCTTACCAAAATTTTGCTATGAACTTGGCGGGTAGAGGCTGAATCTCCAGCTATCAATGTCTTCTATCTCAAAAGCAATGTTTCAGTTGAAGACTCAGACTGGCTGCCCATTAGATCGAATGAGAAACCTGACTGGCCGCTTGATGGGGTAGGGCGCTCAACTGTGCTAGGACCAGGCAGGCATGTGGGAGCTGGTTTGGCTTCTACTAAGCCCAAGCACAGGCTTGATAAGCCCATACGGACCACAGGGAGCTGCGTGCTATCAAAGCTCTTTCCAGAGTTCAGAAGCATTTTTCAAGACACTTCTTCCTCTGTTGTGGCCACTACTCCCTCCCACCTTCCTGAGCTGGAAGGAGGCTACGGAAAGGCCCGCGCGGAAGTTCTCGGCAGGTGTTGAGTGAGGTGTAGAAATGGACAGAGTGAGGAAGGTTTGTGGCTCTGCTTCTGGGAAGGATGTTGCTTCCTTCCTGTCTTCCCTGTGGGGAGGGAACGGGTACAGCAGAGGACCCCTCTCTGCTTCTCTTAATGATCAGTGCCAAAAAGTATGGGCTGGGGATTTAGCTCAGCGGCAAAGCGCCTGCCTGGCAAGCGCAAGGTCGTGAGTTCGGTTCCCGGTATCGGAGAAAAACCCAAAAAAAAAACAAAAAGAAAAAGAAAATTTCCTCAACTAGATAAAGGGCATCTCCAAAACCCCATGGCTAGTATCTTATTTAGTGATGAAAAACTGCGGTTCCCGGTACCAGAGAAAAACCAAAACCCAAAAAAAAAAAAAAAAAGTAAAAGCAAATCTGCCACTGTGCTCGTGATGATTGTGAAGCTGGTGCCGAGGGAGGGAGCGAGGTGACCGTAGATGAAGTGAGTCCTCCAAAACTTACAGTATAAGGCAGAGACTCAGGCGAGTCCTGGTTTGTTGTTCAGGACACTTACTAGTCCGTGAGGCTCAGCCACCTGACCTATCACAAGGAGATGGCACTGCCCCCGATGGCGGAGTCCTCAGCTCTGAGCCCCCAAACAGGTGCCCCTCACCTTCCTGTTGAGTCTAAAGTAACAATGAAGCCTCAGCTGAAAAGGGTGAGAAGGAGCAGTACCGCGAGGAGGTCATGCGTGAAGGCCACACGTGTGGCAGACATATGTGACAGCCTCATCAAGCCCTCAGATCCGCAGAGAATTCCTGGCAGTTCAAACTGCGACTGAAGGAAATGAGAGCTGAAAGAAGCACTACTTGTGACTTCCGTGACCCTGTCTGCAGGTATTTTCCTTTCAAGGAGATAGCACATCTTTGATTCACCAAGTATTATGTGTTTACGAGCAATACCAAACACAGCATTACGTGCCTACGTTAAAAAGGGAAATTGTTGTGATAGCAAAACCATATTGAATTTCACCTTCTTAAGGCATTGTTACAAAACAGTACTTGAATTGTGGTGGTGAAGTGTTGACAGTGCGTTTGAATTTCTTCCGTTGCATCTTTATGATTAAAACAAACATTCCTAATTAAATAGCCGTATGCTCATAATGTCTGCTTGAAAATCAAATTTTTGGAACAGGTTCTGAATGCTGAAAGGTATAACTGCAAACCACTGGGCAGTATCCACTGTATGATTCATAGAAATTAATATGGGCACAGTTGAGATAGTGGCTTGTTTTAAAAGCATGACATAGCAGGGGAATGTACTTTGAAATCCTTTATTTATCTTATTGCAACCTGTACCTTTCTGAATCTTCCTGCGCCTGTGTCCTGCAAGGCGGTCCTGTTCTCCCTCACGGTGCCCTCTTGCTCTCTCTGGCTCATTCCTTTAATCCTCAGGTGATCAAAGTTTTGTGTGTACTTTGTGCGTTTGGGGAAGAGTGACTTGGTTTTATTTTTTGGCTAGAGTAGAATTGCAGAATGTAGTACCTTGAGATGCTTAAAATACTTTTAGTCAAAAACCTCTTGAATTTCCCCACATTCCTGTGGTTTGTACTGATCTCTCTGAAATTAATAAGACCTGGCACTGTGTTTTTATGATGAGATTCGCTTTGATTATCTTATAAGCTAACCGGAAGTGCTTATTCTCATTCAGATAAGCATAGATATTCAAGAGCAGGGTCACAGGCCTTGTATCAGGACCATGGCTGGTTTTCATTATTGACTAATGTATTTTGAATTTATAAAGTAAAAATGTACACGGTTGAATTATTTACCAGAAAGTACCGGATAAAAAGCAATTGTCTGTCCTCTCCCCGTGATTTCAGTTCTTTTCCCCAGATAGATACATTTTTTGCATACATGCTTCCAGAAGGTTTGTAGTCTACTGCCACACATATGACTATATGTAGTACATTTAATATAGATAAGATGACACCATCCATACATATGTCTTGCTATAAACTATTTTAGTTAAAGCATTTACTTTTTTAGCACACACTATGTGATATAATCTACATATCATTAAATTTACCAATTGTTAGTATATATTTCATTACACTTTGCTAAAATGGTATAGTTGTATAAAAAGTACCATAAATCCTTGGAATGTCATTTTCCCAAATACTCTAGTGCCCATTTCATGCCTGTCCTCTCTCATACCGCCACCCGCGGGTAACCACAAATTTGCTGTCTAGTTTTGCCTCTCTACCATATTTTTATAAATCAAATCATATAGTATTTAGTGTTTTACTTAGCATAACACTGTTGAGAATTATTCAGTCAATACATGTAAGAATGATTTGTTTCTTTTATTGACTAGTAGTATTACATTATACTAACCTATTTTTGTCTAGTCACCAGTGATTAAATATACAAGTTATTTTTTCTCTGGGTACTTAGGAATAATTTTGCTATAAATATTTGGGTACAAGTGAATCTATATTTTCATTTTTCTTGATCAGATACCTAGGAATGGTGTTCCTAGAAATTATGCAAAGTGTATACTTCAATCGATAAAAAATTGTGAAAATGTCTTCCAAAATGGTGATATAATTGTGTATTCCACCAACAGTGTATATGGCTTCCAATTATTGCCCATGTTTCTCATATTTGTTATAATGGGCCTTTTAAAATATTATTCTAGTGAGTGTGTACTGCTACTTTTTGTCGTGTTAATTTATATCTCTCTAATCTTTTTTTATATATTTTCATGTGCTTATTAGCATTGACATATCTTTTTTGGTAAAATCTCTAATTGAATATTTTGCCTGTTTAAATTATTGGCTTTTTTGTCTTCCTTTTTTTTATACTACCTATGAAAATCTGTAGATGCAGTTAAAGAAGTAATTAATGTTATAGCTAGATGGTGATATATGAAGCACATTATATTATTTTCTATTAATATTTGATGTTTAGAATAATTTTAAAATAACAAATAATTTTTCATGTGAAAACATTGGACCTAGTTACTGCAAAGGTTTCTTGCAAGTAAAAGAAAGTGATTTAATAGCTTATAAATACGGTGGCCAATTTCTCTCGCTGGTCATCTAATGAACATTATACTTTTTACTCCTAGTGAGTAGTTTATTTAACTTTTTATTATTTTAAAGAGAGAAAAAAGATAAACAAACAATGAAATTGAGTTTCAAAACAAGTTAGTGAGACAGTTACCATAGTTGATACATTACGTATTGTTATCTTCCTAGTAGTTAATCAGAGTACAAGATATAGCATGATATCTTTTCTAAACAGTATTAGCACGAAGTATTCTTTCCAAGGAACTAAGAGAAGCTAGCTGTAAAACTACCTTAACTAATATAGCTTGTAGGGGCTGGGGATTTAGCTCAGCAGCACAGCACCTGCCTGGCAAGCACGAGGTCATGAGTTCAATTCCCGGTTCCGGGGGGGGGGGGGACTAATATAGCTTGTGTAACATATATCGTTTTCTTTTTGCCTTTCTTTCTTTCCTCTTTCAGTTCCCTATATGGTCAGAATGCAAGTCCTCTTTAAAACAGCTTTTCACAGTGGCAGTATCATAGCCAATGTAGTTTATCTGAGGCACATGATTATTGCCAATAAAAATGGGTGATTTGCAAATACTATCCAAGTCTGTGACTTGTCATTTCATTTTCATTTCTTTTTCTTTTTGGCGACTTTTGAGCAACAAAAGTTTTCTAATTTTGATAAAGTCAAGTTTATCAATTTTTTCTTGCATGGATCTTTCTTTTGGTATTGTATCTTTGCCTAACCCAAAATTATGAAATTTTTTCTATGTTTTCTTCTACAAGTTATATATTAGCACTTATGTTTAGGTCTATAAACCAATTTAGGGTAATTTTATCTATAATATGAAAGGAGGATTTAATTCAGTTTTTGCATGTGCATATCCAATTGTTCTAGCACCAGTTTTCTGGGGAAAAAAGCTATTTTTTCCCACTGAACTGTCTTGGCACTTTTGACAAAGATAAATTAGTGGAAATATAGGGACTTATTTCTAGACTCTATTCTTTTCATTGAACTGTATGTCTATTGTGTTAATAGTAATCTAGAAAGATTACTGTAGCTTTATGTTGTGTACTGAAATCAGAATGTGTCCTCCAATATTTTTCTCCTTTTTCAAAATGATTTTGTCTATTCCAGGTCCTTTGCAAATTTCCTAGAAATTTTAGCATCAGGTTTTACAATTATTTTGTTAAAGCCTTGCTGAGACTGGTGTTGCACTGAATATACAGAACAATTTTCCTCTTTAACATTAAATCTTTCAATTCTTAAATGTGGTCTACATAGCCCTTCATTCGTTTGGGCCTGCCTTAATTTCTCTCAGCACTGGTTTATAATTTTCATCGTACAAATGTACTTCTTTGGTTAA